ATTATGCTGAGTGAAATAAGTCAATCACAGAAGGACAAATATTGTATTAATTCATTATTGTATAAAGTCAAGGAAAGGTTTATATCTGGAAGGAAACTTTCATTGTTGGTTACCGGGGCGGGGGGAGGGGGGAGGAAACACTGCAAAACTAAAAATAAAAAAATAGAAACTTGTGCAAGGTCCCACCTGGAAGGTGGTAAAGTGAGGGTGGCCCAGGTCAGGCTCCAGGTTCACATCTTGAGCAGGTCCTCAGAGGCAACCCCCACTGCTTACAAGGTGACAGAGGGGCTGCCTGAAAGGCCTGCATGTCTCTTGGGAACACAGCCTAAGACCCAGAAGTTGGGAGGAGCCTTAGGGTATCTTCATCCCACCTGCTGCCCCTTCAGACTTCCTGGTGGAAGCCCGCAGAGTGGAATTTCCTGGGAGTGGACTCACATGAGGCCAGTTTAAAAAAAATATATTTTCTAAAATGCTCAAAGGTCACCAGAGAAATGCAAATTAAAACCACAGTGAGGTACAGTCCACACCCACTGCTGCTGTCCGGTGCCGGTGCCATGGAGTTGACTCCGACTCCCAGCGACCCTGTGGGACAGAGCAGAACTGACCCATAGGGTTTTCTAGGTCCTTACCTTTATGGGTGCACGTCACAGGTTTTTCTCCTGTGGAACCCCGGCATGAGCTTGAACTGCCAATCTTCTGGCTTCCCGCCCAGCACTTAACCATCGTGCCACTAGGGCTCCTTCCACACCCACTAAAACAAAAACTCCCTGCCTTCAAGTCGGTTCCGATTCACAGCAATCCCCATTGGGTTTCTGAGGCAGTAAATCTTTACAGAAGTAGATTTCCCCGTCTTCCTTCTGTTAAGTGACTGGCGTGGTCGAACCACCAACCTTCTGGTTTTAGCAGTCAAATGCCTTAGGCACTGTGCCACCAGAGCTGCTTTCCACATCCAGGGGAGCAGCTCAAATGAACAGGACGGAGTGCTGGGGAGAATGCAGGGCAACTAGCATCTCCCAGCCCTTGCTTCTGGGAGAGCAGACTGATGCCGCCGTCCCGCAAAACTGTGTGGCAGCTGCTTTAAGTGACGCAGATACCTGCCCTGTGAGCATCTCCTGTGCTGTGCCTCCCTCCGTGACTACTGCCTTTAGACAGGTAAGTTCCAAGTCTGCAATCCATCCTCTCTGCTCCCCTGATCTTTGGAATCACAGATCCAGCAACCTGCTGAATGCCCCCAGTGTCCCACAAAGCACCCCAAACTCACCGTGTCCAGAGAAGAATGCCTCTCCATCCTTCCCACCAGACCCCTCCGTGCAGCTGCCTCCTACCCTCCCTGCCCGCTGGGGGGGGGGCGGGTGCTCGGCCCAATCCTTGCCTTTCTGGCTCTTTCCCGGGTCCTGGCAGGGCTGGCTCAGAGAGCTGTGCTTCTCACGATCCCTGTGAGCTGGTTTCCAGCTCCGGCCTCAGGGTTACTGGCAAGACTAGAAGAAGAGGAGGGGAGGACCTCCCATCCTTCTTCCCTCTCTGCTTTGAATGGAATGACCCCCTGGGCTCCCAGCGTCCCCCATGTCCCACCCATGGGCTCTGGCCTCCTCCCAGTGTCTCTCCACCCTTGAGATGGGAGCAGCTTCCTGCTGTGGCTTGGGTGCTGTTGGCCACCGTTCCTGGCCCAGACTCTCAGCTTGTTTCCTCCAGCAATGCCTGTGTCAATCCTTGAAGACCACACGTGGGCTGGTTTCTGTGTCCCTGGGTGGACCCTGACGGACACAGACAGTAACCCCCATATCCGCCAGCCTGCCCGCCACCCCAGGCTCCTCTCTGTGCCTCACCCCCACTAAGTCATCAATCAACACGTTTTGACAATTTTACCCCTAAGCTATTTCTCAAACCCCCCTCCCTCCACCCAGTTGCCGGAGTGAAGGTCCTCCGCAGTATCACTATGGAAGTAGATTGCCCAGTCTTCCTTCTGAGGAGTGGCTGGTGGGTTTGAACTGCCAGCCTTAGGTATTATGCCACCTGGATCCTTTAGCATAGCCAAACCAAGCAATCTCACTATAGGCTGTCTCTGCTCAAGCTCAAGCTGGTCCTTTGACCTGGAATTGTCTTCCTACTTGCCCTTCTACCTGTGGCTTGGGCCCACCTCCTCCAAGAAATCTTCCTGAATTCCCTCCATCCCTGTCCTTAGGATAGGCCAGGTGCCACCATAGACTGGCCTGCAAATTCCACTTATAGGTGCAGTAGGCGTGTTCTGTGGACTTTTCCTCTCTGTCCCAATATGACCCTTAGGAGCTGTGACTGGTCTCAGAATTCGGGGGTCCCTGTGCCTGAACCATGTGGAGAGCACCATGGAGCAATGTTTGTGGAACCCAACCAATGGGAAAATGAAGAGCTGGAAATGAGGCCATCTGTGAAAATGGCATGACCTCCTCTAACTTCACAAGGTGTGAGACTCACCATCCGCAGCAGTAGCCCGAGGCGGACCCTGTGAGGCAGCCTCAGACACCCCGCCACCCTCCAGCCGTTTCACCAGTTCTGACCCCAGCCGTCCCGCCCACGCACTGTCTACTTCTCTGCTGGGTTCGATAATTCATTG